AGGTGTACGTGGCTGGCGCCTTAGCCGGTTGAGCCACAGGCGCCGAGCCTCAAAGTTCAATTTCAAGGAAAATAATGAAAATTCCTATGAAAAGTCTTATTTAAATATTAAACACATTATGCCCAGCATAATGGCTCATGCCTGTAATCCTAGCACTCTGGATCACCTGAGCTCATAAGTTCAAGACCAGCCTGAGCAAGAGCAAGACCCCATCTCTACTAAAAATAGAAAAATTAGCTGGCTATTGTGGCAGGCACCTGTAGTCCCAGCTTCTCAGGAGGCTGAGACAAGAAGATTGCTCATACCTACAAGTTTGAGGTTGCTGTGAGCTATAATGCCACAGCGCTCTACCCAGGGCGATTAAGTGAGACTCTGTCTCAAAAAAAAAAAAAAGAAAAGAAAAGAAAAGAAAGAAAGAAAGAGAAGAAAGGAAAGTTAGAAAAAAAAGAACTATTAAACACAGATACTTGTGCAACTTCTTACAAATTAGTGGTAAGTCTTCAAAAAAGGATGTAAAAACCACTTCAACAGGCTTTTGCAATCAGATATGTAAAAAGCCTGTGGTTAGCTTTTGTGGCAAATTTCTTCTTCTGTTACTTACATACTGACAGGGAGTGAACTTTATATATGGTTTTCTCATTTTAATTGTTTTGATGCTGTCTTTACCCATTTTAGTGCTTTAGTTCTCTATACTTTGCACTTCGGAGCAACTTCTGCAGGGTATGAGAGTTTGTCTCATTTCTAAACTAACCTGTAATAAAACTGACTTTTTTAGGTTTCATGTTAACACACATAGAGATCTGCATAACTACTGCCACAGTCTGATACAGAACAGTCCCATCACCCCAAAACATTCCCTTATGCTGCCTTTTTGGGGTCACCCTTTCCCCTAGGTGGAGAACAGGCCCCCCTGACCTGTTTTACCTTTACCTTTTTACCTGTATTTACCTGTCAAGAAAGCCACATGAACAAAATTAAATGGTACACAACCTCTCGAGACTGGCTTCTTTTACTCAGCATTATGCCTTTAAGATTCACCCAAGCTGTTACGGGACGCATAGTGGCTGATCCTTTTCATGTAGATCAGGATTCCACTGTATGGATGTAGCCCAGCTAGCCTGTTTACTCATTCATCCACTGAAGGACATCTGGGCTGTTAACAGTTTTTTATTTTTATTTATTTATTTTTTGAGACAGAGTCTCACTATGTCACCCTCGGTAGAGTGCCGTGGCAGCACAGCTCACAGTAACTTCAAACTCTTGGGCTTAAGTGATTCTCTTGCCTCAGCCTCCTAAGTAGCTGGGACTACTGGCACCCGCCACTAGGCCTGGCTGTTATTCTCTGTTGCAGCTGTCATTGTTGTTTAGCTGGCTCAGGCTGGGTTCGAACCCACCAGCCTGTGTGGTAAGTGGCGGGCACCATAACCACTGTGCTACAGGCACTAAGCCTGTTTACAGTTTTTTACAATCATGAAGAAATTAAACATTCCCATTTCTGTGTGAACATAACTTTTCATTTATCTGTGGTAAACAGCCGAGTGTTGTGGCAGGCGTGTGTAGTCCCAGCTGCTTGGGAGGCTGAGGCACAAGAATAGCCTAAGCTCAGGAGTTGGAGGTTGCTGTGAGCTGTGACACCATGACACTCTACCAAGGGCGACCAAAAAAAAAAAAAAAAGAAAGAAAGAAAAGAAAAAACAGCCAGCACAGGAACAGGCACCTCTAGTCCCAGCTACCCAGGTGGCTTGAGGCAAGAGTAACTTGAGCTTAGGAGTTTGAGATTGCTGTGAGCTATAATGATGCCACTGCACCCTAGCTGGGGCAACAGAGTAAGACTGGCTCAAAAACAAACAAACAGACAAATAAAAACAAACCATAAGATTGGGGCGGCGCCTGTGGCTCAAAGGAGTAGGGTGCCAGCCCCATATGCTGGAGGTGGTGGGTTCAAACCCAGCCCCGGCTAAAAACTACAAAAACAAACCATAAGATTAAGCAGAAGCACACATGGGAGTATCCCATGACTTCCTACTGAAAAGAGGAGCCCAGAAGTCAGTGATCAGCACCCCAAGGTGCCACAAGTGTTTTAAAGCATGGAAGGAAAATACATTTCTATTTTCTAGAGCCCTGTCTGTGATTAAAGATGAGATTAAGATAAATTGAAATTGTCCTCTTATATGAGATGAACAACACAAATTTGTTGCCCAGAAGGCTGAGGCAAGAGAATCACGTAAGCCCAGGAGTTGGAGGTTGCTGTGAGCTGTGACGCCATGGCATTCTACCAATGTAGAATAATTGATGCTGTAATCACAGCATGTCCTCTGCCATTATCTAACTCCCAAGAGGACAAATACAGGCTTCCAGGTGAAAGCCTGGAATCTTTCTAGAAAAAAAAAAGTATCATCCAAACAATTTATGGGCCCTTTCAACATGAGAAATAAACTACTAAAAAGGCCAGTGATACTGTCTTGCACAAGTAAAGAAGGAAACAAATTCAGTGACTGAGGAACTTGCCTTGCTGGTGTTCTGTGGAACAAAATAACTCATCTAAGAGCATTTCACAATGGGAGCCCAGAATACTGCCATCAAATGTGGGCTGATGCTGTTCTGACCCCTGGGCACTGCAGCCATACTTGGCTGATAGGGGGATGACAAACTCTCCCAAATTAGAAAATGTGTGTGTAAGACAGCAGTCAATCTACTTAGCAAGTGCCTTGTTCTCCAGTAAGTATTTAGGACCAGTGTCATACAGTGTTACAAGCTTTTTGTGGGAAATCTGATTTTTCGAATGTTGGGCTTAGTAGTATTTTAGAAATGTATTACTTTATAAACTGGCAAATGGCATTTGGGTCAATGGTATAGACACTAGTACTGTTGCCTAAGGACAATCTTTGTTCATTTTTGATAAAAACACATAGGCAAACAGAAATTGATGGATGTTGTGGAACATGCTATTACATGCATACTTCAGTTAATCCTAAAACTACATCCATCTTAGAGGGGAAACATACAGAAGAGTCATCTCCATTAAGGCCAAGGCCACAGCAAGGCTGCCTACTCTCTTTATTACTTAACACCAAACTAGAGGCGTCAGTTCAGGCAAATTAGACGAGAGAAAAGTATGAGAGCATAAAAACTGGGAAAGAAGTAAAGCTATCTCTATTTGCAGTTGATATGATAGTACAGCTGAAAACCCTAAAGAATCAATGTGGCTTGGTGTGGTGGCTCACGCCTGTAATCTTAGCACTCTGGGAGGCCAAGGCAGGTGGATCACTTGAGGCCAGGAGTTTGAGACTAGCCTGAGCAAGAGCAAGACATCATCTCTACAAAAAATAGAAAAAGACAAGACATCATCTC